TTCATTGATATAGAGAACTCACCAAAAGAGCAAACTCCCTCTAACAATTAAAGTCGGCACCTTCTTTGCAACTTACAGTCTTAGTTACCTCAACTAAAAGTGACTTGCCCAGGGTCACAAAGCCAGTATGTGTTTAGAAGAAGGATTTGAACCTACGTCTTCCCAATGCTAGATCTTGAAATAATATTTGTAAAGTGCTTGGTACATGGTAACTTAGTTGTTGTTATCGTTATTATTATTATCATCTCTATCCACTATGGCACACTGTCTCTTAGGCAAAAAATCTTATTATTTATACTTTTTAATGTATAAGATAATGAAGATACTTTTTATAATTTATTTTTTAATAACTTCCTTTCTTGGAATGTCCCCCCTGCACCTCCCAACCTATCTGCATACTGAACACTCCTTGGGGCAGCTAGGTGGCACAGTGGATACAGCACCGGCCCTGAAGTCAGGAGGACCTGAGTTCAAATCTGACCTCAGACCCAACACTTGATGCTTACTAGCTGTGTGACTTTGGGCAAGTCACTTAACCCCAATTGCCTAAAAAAAAAAAAGCCATACTGAACACTCCTTTCATTAGAATGTAAGCTCCCTGAGGGAAGGAACTATTCCATTTTCGTCATTTTTTTTTTTTTAGTGAGGCAATTGGGGTTAAGTGACTTGCCCAGAGTCACACAGCTCGGAAGTATTATGTGTCTGAGGCTGGATGTGAACTCAGGTCCTCCTGACTCCAGGGCTGGTGCTCTATCCACTGTGCCACCTAGCTGCCCCCATTTTTTGTCGTTATAGCCCCAGCGCCTAGTACAATGTTTTGCATGTAGTAGGCCTTCAATAAATATTCAGCGAATTGACTCTTACCTATTGTTCAAGGCCCAGCCTCCATAATATCTTGTTTCTCTAAATACTCCTGCACTTACAATCTGTGCTGCATATTTCAGGGTTTCATTATGTTCTTCTGTAATCGATCTCCAATAATAGTAAGAAGTCACATGTACATAGCACTTTCCGTTTTGCAAAGGGCTAATTATTGTTCATGCATGTATAATTTTGTCTTTCCAATAACAATCAGTTCCTCGACAGGGGCCATTGTCTTAGGCTTCTTTGCACAGTGGATGGAGCACTGGGCTTTGAGTCAGGAAGACTGATCTGCCTGAGTTCAAATCCAGTCTCAGACAGTCACGAGTTGTGTGACCCTGGGCAAGTCACTTAAACTCTGCCTCAGTTTCCTCATCTGTAAAATGAGCTGGAGAAGGAAACGGCAAACCACTCCAATACCTTTCCCAAGAAAACTCCAAATGGTGTCATGAAGAATCAGACCGGACTGAAACGATTGAATAACAACAATAACAGCAGTGCAGGAATGGGCACAGAAGAACGCTAAATAAATACTTAAAAAAAAAAAAGAGTTCTGGTGCATACCCTTTGATCCAGCAATAGCACTTCTAGGGCTATATCCCAAAGAGATCAAACAAATGGGAAAAGGACCCACATGTACAAAAATATTCATAGAAGCTCTTTTTGTGGTGCCAAAGAATTGGAAATTGAGAGGCTGCCCATCAATTGGGGAATGGCTGAGCAAGTTGTGGTATATGAATGTAATGGAATACTATTGTGCTATAAGAAATGATGAACAGGCTGACTTCAGAAAAACCTGGGAAGACCTATATGGTCTGATGCTGAGTGAAGTGAGCAGAACCCAGAGGACTTTGTATACAATAGCAGCCACCTTATGCAATGACTAAGAATGTTAAACTGAACCCTTCTCAGCATTAAGAGGATCTAAGACATCTCCAGAGGCCTCGGAATGGAAAATGCTGTCCACATCCAAAGAAAGAACTATGGAAGTCGAATCGCTCTCACTTAATTTTACCTTAAGTTGAATTTTGTTTCATCTTTCTGATGGTTCCTCCTATTGGTTTTAATTTTTACTTACAACTTCACTAATGTGAAAATATGTGTAATGGGTATGTAAATGTAAAGCCTATGTCAGATTGTGCGCCGTCTTGGGGTGGGGGGGAGAAAAAGGGAGAAAAAAATTTTCAACTCAAAAGCATATGGAAAAAAAAAAATTAAAAAAAAATAAAATTAAAAGAAATAAAATTTTAAAAAAAAGAGTTCTGGATAAAACATTGGAATTATCTAATCCAGCAATGCTGAGTGTGGTCTGGGGAGCCCTGGGGATCCTCATGACCCTTTCAGAGGGTCTACAAGGTCAAAACTATGTTCATAATAACACTAAGATGTTTTCATTTCTATTGCAATGAATATCAAGAAATACAGCTCCCATAAACAAAAGCTCTTTGGGAGGATCGTCACTAATTTTTAGGAGTGTAAAGCGGTACTGAGACCAAAAAGTTTGAGAACTGCTGATCTGATCTAATCAGCTCAAGAGCGTCTAGAGGCAGGCAACTAAGCTGGAAAACACATGGAATTGGGGAAATGGGTTCAGTTTGGAGTCCCTGGACCTGGCTCTGCCATTCACTAGCTATGTGACCTCTTAGCTTCCAGGACTCAGTTTCCCCATCTGCAAAATGAGGGGTTGGACTAGATTACCTCTCCAGTCCCTTCTAGCTCTGTATCTAGGGTTCAGTGATTTAAAGGGTACAAAGCACAGTATGGTTCAGTGGAAAGAAGGCTGGATTTGAGGTCAAAGGACCCGGTTTGAATCTTGGTTTTGCACTTTGTTGCTGTGAGGATGGACATAGCTACCTTCTAGCTACCTTCGCTAGAAAATGAAGTTAACTAGAGCAATGGCACCAAATTCAAATAGAAACAGAGTGCATGTCATATTGGCTAAGAAAACCACAAATTAACATCATCTATGTTGCATTGTATTTTTAGTCATGGTGTTAAACATTTCCCAATTACATGTTAATGTGGTTTGGCCAGTTTTGCATAAGTGTGTCAACTCTGGACAAAGAGATCTCTATGGTCTCTTCCAACTTGAAATCTATGCAATGTCTCCTAGTTTTTGAAGGAATATCACCTAGAAGAGGGATTCAACTTATTTTATTTGGTCCCAGAGAACAAAACTAGGTGCAAGGGTTGGAAGTTGAAAAGGAAAGAACGGAGTATTTATTAAGCACCTACTATGTGCCAGGCACTAAGCCCTTTACAAATATCTCATCTGATCCTCACCACACCCCTAGAAGGTAGGTGTGATTATTATCTCCATTTTGCAATTGAGGAAACTGAGGCTAAGAGAAGTTAAGTGGCTTGCCAAGGATCATATGGCTAGTGAGAGTCTAAGGCTGGATTTGAACTCAGGTCTTTCTGACTCTAGACCCTATTCTTTATCCACTGTGCCACCTAGCTGCAAAGAAGCAAATGCAGGAGTGTCTAAAAGTGGAATAGACTGCTGTGGAAAGTGGGAGCTTGCTCCTCACTGAAGGTCTTCAAGCAAAGGCTGAATACCCACTTGCCAAGGATGTTGTAGAAGGGATTTTTTTTTTTAGGTATGGGTGGGAAGGTCAATGAGTTCCCTTCTGCCTTTGAATTCTGAGATGCTGTGATCTCTTTGGGAAATAAACATGTCATAAACAGATATGAAGAAGTATTGCCATCTGAACTAATGACATTTTATAGGGAATTTCAAGTCTGCAAATAATATCTTTCTTTCTAGTTGACATAGTGGACACAGCACCGTACTTGAAAGTCAGAAAGACCTGAGTTTGAATCTTGCCTCAGATACTTACTAGCTGTGTGATAGTGGGCAAATACTTAACCTCTTATTCTCCTTATCTATAACATAGCAATAATAATAATAATAATAACCTCACAAGGCTGTGATTCGATTTTTATTTTATATATATGCATGTTGTGATGAGATAATATTACATATAAATGAGACTGTATGTATATATATGTATATATGTGTGTGTGTGTGTGTGTGTGTGTGTGTGTGTATATCAGAGAGAGCAAACCTTAAAACAGTATGTATATGTTGTTATTATAGACCTTATTTCAAACCATCCCTGTGATTTAAGACAGGGAAGGGCAGATGCGGAAACTGAGACTTGCAGGTTAAAGTGGAAAGGTCCTGAGAGAGATCTAGTCCAATTCTTTTATGTTATTTTATCAATGAGGAAACTGAAGGTCACACAGCTAATAAGTACACAGCTGTGATTAGGAATATTTTCATCTGGGGTAAAAGGTAGTTGAGTCAGGAATGGACAGGTTGTGAAATGGAAATAATTTAATAAGATAATAATAATTTAACTGTGAGTGTAGTCATACTAGAGAAAGGGAGGTGATGGGAAGTCAGAGTCTATAAGAGGGATCTGGTGGAGAAGAAACCCAGAGCTGATAAGAGGACCTTAGGGGAGTTACAGGTATGTGTATTTCCAGAAGGAACTGTACCCTCCAATGACTAGGTCCAGCATCCTGAATTTGCCATGGTGGCCCACAGGGGCAAGCCAGTTATGGGTCTGGGTAAGTAGTAGAGTGGGTATTTGAAACCCAGGGGAATGGGTTATAAAGATCTTTAAATGCCAAACAGAGGATTTTCTATTTGATCCTAGAAGAGGTCCAAATTAGATCCCTTTTCAGTATACCAGGGAGGGGAAATAACTCTAAAGTCACCATGTTAGCTGGGTAGTGGCATAGCCTACAACAGTGTTGATGTCTTCCGACTATTAGAGGGCAGTGTCAGAATATGGAGGGGGCTTTTGTTTGTAAGTAATGTGCATAGGAGTAATGTATAGATTTTTTTTTGAAGGGAAGTAATGTGTATGTGCATGTGTTTTGGGGGAGGCTATATGGGAAGGGGGAGTAGTGTATAGGGAATAATATGTGTGATACAAATAACGCGTGTACGGGGGTGTTGTTTGTGTATTTCTCTTTGTATAAGTTTATGGGGGCTGGGTATGTTGGGGAGCAGTGCATAAGTTTGCCGAAGGCCACTATCCCTGTAGGAGGGCCCTGGTTTTGGATGCATCTAGCCAAGGATCGCACAGTGCATCTGCCTTCCCAGCCACCTCGTTCCAAATACTTACGAATCGCACTTCGTCGGCAATGACATCATGGTGTACTCGGTAGCCGGTGCCGGTGCCCACGCTGCCCTTGAGCTCTGGAGCGCCCTCCTGGGAGCGGGCAGTGTAGTAACGGACAAAGCGGGTCCGCTTCACCAGCACGTGCAAAATCAGGCACCATGAGCTCCATGCCGATAGAGATGAAGAAGAAGATGATCGTGTTCTCCTTCTCGTCTGACAGCAGCAGCTTGGTGAAGATGCGACTGAGGGAGATGATCACCCCAGCAGTGCCTAGCAAGAGGGAGTTAGCGGTCAGGGCAGGGTCTGGGGAGCCTGAGCTGACCCTCCCCCTTGTATACACAACGCTGTTCCATGCAGATATCCCACTGTTAAACACATTGACGCCTCCACCCCGAGCCCACACATACATCACTCCCACACTCAAAGATACATCTTGGTCTCTCCCTCCACACAAACACATACACTACCGCCCTCCACAAATGGATCCGCTCGAACTTACACCCGGAGAAATACACAAACACAGAACTTCCCCCCATAAACATACACTGTCCCCCTCCCAAACTTTTACACAGATACAAACAATGCTTACACATTGCTTATACAAAACAGCCATCCACAAATACACTAGTCCCCACCATAAATATAAACACTATTTACACACACAGTTCTCACAAACATATACAAAGAAACCAATCGCTTAAAACTAAACTAAGAATTTTGGAACACTTTGTACATAAACAACGGCTCCAGTGTGGGAATTTGTTAGTCAATAAGCATTTATTAAGCACCTATTATATATCAGACACTGTGCTAAGACTGGGCATACAAAAAGGGGCATGCAAAAAGATAATCCCTGACCTTAAGGAGCTCACAATCTCCTGGAGGAGTCAATAAGCAAACAGTTACGCACAAGGAGGATAAATAGGAAACAATTAAAATAGGGAAGACACTTAAGAGGGGTTGGGGAAGGCTTGCTAGAAGGTGGATTTTAGTTGGGACTTAAAGGAAGTCAGAGAAGCCAGGAGGCAGAGATGTGGAGGGAGAGTATTCCAGGGATGGGGGACAGCCAGAGAAAATGCCTAGAGCCAAGAGAGGGAGCATCTTCTTTGTGGCACAGCCAGGAGACCAATGTCACTGGATCAAAAAGTATGTGTCAGGGAATACGGGATAAAAAGACTGGAAAGGAGGGAGGGCATGCTGGGTTTTGAGGGGCTTTGAATGACAGAGGATTTTGTATTTGATCCTGGAGATGCTAGCGAGCCCTCTGAGTTTGCTGAGTGGGGAGGTGGCTGAACAGAGAATGGATTGGAATGGGGAGAGACTTGAGGCAGGCAGAATCACCAGCAGGCCACTGCCTTGACTTGACTATGCATAGCTATTACAAGGAATTTCTTTTTTCTTTTTTTTTCCCATTGGGTTGGTGGAGTGAGAGGGAAAGAAAACATTTTTAATTTTTAGAGAGCACTTAAAAATAGAGAGGCAAGGGAGCTACAGGTGTGGAGTGTTGCATGCCCTTTCAGATAAGGGCACCATATTGTAATTTTGCTTATTAATTGCTTTACTTTGTTACAAGAGCACAGATCATAAGTTGGGGTAATCTGGAAATATTTGGAAAGTAAAAACAAAACATGTCATTAATTTTTTTTAATAAAAAAAACAACCTAGCAGTCCTAATACAAACACTGCTTATCCACAAATATACACACTGCTTACACACACAGCCACTCAAAATATACATACTCTCCCCCACCACTTACACACACACTACATGCACTCATAATCCCCGACACTCACTTTTCCCCCACAAACATATCGACCCTCCATAAATCCTAAACTGCTCCTCTCTGCTCCCCAAACACACACACATGCACACAAATCCAAGCCCACTCAAACTTGCCATGCCCTCAGACTGGAGCTGAGATTTCATGCATTTCAGGAGAGGCTAAAGTTTTATGAGGGAAAGGGAGGGTAGGAAAGGGAGGGGGGGGGAGAAGGCTGGGATCCTAAAGAGGAGGGATGTCAAACTCAAATAGAAATGGGGACCACTAAACGCTAAGGATCCCCAAATACTTGCTTAATTTTAAAATGTGATATTATCTATGTTTTATTTGTATTTTTATTTATTTTGTTAAATATTTCCCAATTGTATTTTAGTCTGGTACAGGCTGCTCTTGGGAATGTTGCCAGTTATGAGTAGCCTGGCCCTCAGGCTGAGTGTTTGATGCCTCTGCCGTAGAACATGGGGACTGGACCCCAACTCCAGGTGCCTCTGGCTCATCCTCATTGCCAAATGGCTTGGTTTTGCTGGTCTTTAGCTGGGAGCTTCAGGAACCAGAAACCTTGGACCCTGCCTCAGGGCCTGGCCTTGTGAGAATCCCAGCCCAGCTTCCTCAAGCCAGAATAGCCTCTGCCATTGGTTTCTGTATCCCCCATCCCTTCCCTAGCATTACCACACTGGCTTCAGGGTGACCTCTGGAAAAGGAAGTCACTTCAAATCACCTCAAATGCACTTCCCACTCCCGTCAGGGTAGAGCAGGAGAGTGACCATGTGAGAGAAACCAAGCTAGGGGAGCCTGTTATTGACTTCTGATGGATGCAGATACTTACTCTCCCCAGTCATCACCCCCTGGGTGTACCTCTTGGGCAGCATCCCTGTGTAACCGTAGAAACTGGATTGCTGCACTTGAAGAGAGAGGAGAGGGTGACAGAAGAGAAGAAAAAAAGATGTTATTACTTCCCCCCACGGTGTGGTGTGGGGAAAGGAGAGTGGAGAGACCCAGGCATAGGTTCCCAAAGTGGGTGTTACTGCCTTCTGGGGGGTGCTGGAAAGATGGGGGGGTGTAACAGGGGGGTATTGAATAAAAACAAGGGGTCGGTGGAAGCTTAAGGAAAGAAGAGAAGAAAACTTTGAAAAACCATTCATATGTGTTTCATCTGTTGTGTAACAGAGTTAAGATCGTAGTGATTACATTATTTTCCAAACAAACACACAAAATGCAAGTTATAACCTATCAGTGATGAAGTCTGAGGACAGGTCTTAACAAGCAAGTGTTGGCAGGCAAACTTGTGCATGGTCAGGAAGTCCAGCATGCATTGGCAGGAAGTATGTGTAATAACTTGTTTACAATGCAATACTGTATGGTTACATGATGCAATATTGCATCATCAAAATTTCAATGTAGGAAAAAAACAGAAATTTACAATAAATTATTAAATTTTAGATGCATAATTTAAAAAAATTTATATTTTTTTGAAATGATACAAATTTTTAAAAATAATTAAAGGGTTTAAAAAAGTAGATTTCCAGGGGGGTGCTTAGTAAATTTTTTTTTAAAAAAAGGGGGCAGTAGGCCAAATAAGTTTGGGAACCTTCGGATCCAGGGAACTTCCCCTAGGCTGTACCTGAAATCTCTGGGACTTTTTAATTAGTCCTCTAGACCAGCGGTCTCCAAACTGTTTCAATCATGCACCCTTGTTCTAGACTAAGTACTCCAGCTAGAAGTGCCCTTTTCAACCCTACTTCTTAGAATCCCCAGTTTCTTTCAAGGCTGGGCTCAAGTGCTACCTTCTATATGAAACTTTTCCTGACCCCCTCAACCAATATCCAAAAAACATTTATTAAGGACCTACTATGTGCCAGGCACTGTGTTAAACACTGGGGACACAATGAATAAAGACAGTCCCTGTCCTAAGGAGTTTATAGTCTAAAGGGGGAGACAACACCCAAAAGGAGGCAGGAAAGGGGGGAAGGACACCATCCAGGGAGTTAAAACCAGGCAGAGCAGCAGATGCAGAGTGGAGTGAGCTCAGGGTCCAGTTTCCAGCCCTCTGTAAAGGAAGGCATTAGGAGGAGTTTGCTATTCTACCCTTCTGCCCTTTAATCAGAGGGGAGAGAGACCTGAGGGAGGAGGTGTCACTCAAAGTTTGAGTGAGTAGCCTGGTGGTGAGTTTAGAAGTGATGAGCTTAGCCTAGGAGGGACAGCTTGTCTGTGGAGTTGAAGCTCTGCAGAGAAGCAAAGTGGAATTGGAAAAGTCCAATTTCCAATTCCTTCCTCCAAAATTAACTTGCATCAGTCTTGCAATTTTACATTATATGCATATACATATATACGCACACACACGTACACATACACATGCATTTGTATACACACATGCATATATGTATGCATACACATACATATATGTAACACACACATACATGTATACACACACACACACATATACACATGCTGTCTCCCCCAGGTAGAATGAAAGCTTCTTGGGAACAAGGACTGTTTGATGTTTGTCTTTATATATCCCCTAGTACTGTATGAGGCACATAGTAGGTATTTAATAAATGCTTGTTGACGGAGGGATTATTGATCAGGCCTACTCCCTCACTGGCCCAACTCCCTCTAACAGTGAAGATGAGGGATGGGCAGACCCCTTCACAGCTCCCATGCCATTTGCCTTTCCACATCCGGCTCTGCGAAGCTGAGTCCTTTCTGAACTCCTCGTCGCCCCCACCCCCCCCAGGCTTTCCTTGGCAGAAGGGAGAGGGGCCAAGAACCTGGGGGATTCTCACTGCAGACAAGGGGAGTGCCCCTGGGTCTGTAGGCCACCCAGCTCACCCACCTCGTAAAAAAGCGATAAAACAGACCATAAACATTGGTGGGAGTAGTTAGTGCCGATTAGCTGGCAGAAGCCTAGGTTTTAGTGGGTGAAATATCTGGCCAGACTATGGCAACCAGATGGAGGCTTTCCTGACCATTAACAAGTTGTGCCTTCTTCGGCTGCTGACAGAGCTGGCATGAAGGTCTTGGAAAGAGCAAGCCCCCAGGGCAGACAGATAAAGTACCCCATTGGGCTAACTGATTCCACCCATGAACAGAATGGAAATAATGCAGAAGTCTTTCTTTCCCCCTTCCTTCTTGGCCTCTCCCCCAAATCCCTGACTCAATTTAAAACTACTAAAAAAAAAAGAATCAATCCATAAATGTTTGTACCATCCAGGCCATCCTTTATTTAATCATGATTTATCAGAATAGAAGCTTCTGGAAGCTAGAGGCTGAGGGTGTAAGCAGCTTCAGAATGGTGCCTAGTTATATTGGAAAAGACTGAGGAATGTTCAGCTATTTAGGACCACCTAATACCAGGCCATTTTCTCTTTTATAAACTACTCAGGAAGTCACAGGGGCACAGATTTAGAAATAGAAAGGTCCTTAGAGGCTATTAAATCCAACCCCTTCATTTTACAGATGAGGAAACTGAGGCCCAGAGAAGTCCAGGTCAGAGGATCCTAGATCTAAAGTTGGAAGAGACCTCAGAGGCCATCTATTTCAACCTCCTCATTTTACTGATGAAGAAACTAAGGCCCAGATTTGCTCAAGGTTTAACAGGTAGTAAGCATTAGAAGAGAGGTTTAAGCCCAGGTTTTTCTAATTCTAAGAACCAGTCTTCCATCCTACCACTTGGAAGGATGTCATCAGGAAGAGCAGCCTGGGGCTTACCTGCACCCCTCCCCTGGGGAGTTGACCCTGCTATGGCTAAATCCCACCTCTGCCCCAAAACTGGGTGAGGCTGAAACAGTGATTTTTCCCTCTCTGTACTGCTTGGTGAGTTTCGGTAGCCTAGAGATCTGGTTCTAGGTCAGACATGGAGAAGAGCTGTCATTCCCTGTCTCTCCCCCCCGAACCCCCAACATCATGGAGACTTTGGGGCCAACTGAAGGGTTAGAACTATATCATGACTCTCAGACCCATTGAACTCCCTTAAAAGAGGGTCAGCCTCAGAGCCAGATCAATCTTTCCAGGACCTGGGGCAAGCCCAGGGCCCAGGCATGCACTTGAGACCAAGACATTTCCTCATTGCCCCATCCCCTCCCAGATCTTATGCTTACCTAGGCCAGCCTCCCCTAAGAAAAGCTAAGGCATTGTCAATAATGGAAGGGGTCACTGGCATTCCCTTACTCCTTTCCCCCCTCTGGGATAGCCTTCACCTACCTGTACAACCGAAGGCCACCGTACCCACAGCAGCCAAGTTGATGGCATATGCCTGTGTCTGGGAGAAGAGCTGCAGCCAGACATCACAGATGCTGACAAAGAGGAGGGGGCCCACTGCGAAGAAGTAACCTGCAGAGAAGACATCCAGAATATTCAGGGGTAAGGCTGGGGGAGGCCTGGATTCATCTCCCAGGGTAAGGCTCAGAAGGAAGGAGCTCCATACCTTCTCCCCAAGCAGTCAGTCAGGAGGGCAGCTTCAGCCTCAGCCTTCTGTCCCATCCATATGAGGATCAGATTTAGAATGGAAAGGGATCTTAGAGATCACTTAATCCAGGGATTCTTAACCTGGGATTTATAAACTTATTTTTAAAATATTTTGATAACCGAGTTTCAATATAAGAGATTTCTTTTGTAATCCTGTGTATTTTATGCATTTAAAATCATTATTTTTGAGAAGGGGTCCATTGGCTTCACCCTACTGCCCAAGGTGGTTCATGATACATAAAAATGTTAAGAGCCCCTTATTTATCACCATCCTCTTATTTTACAGATAGGGAAACTGAGGCTCAGAGAGGTAGTTATTCACCCAAAATTTCATTGTTTTTCAGTCATTTTCAGTTGTGTCTGACTCTTTGTGACCCTATTTGGTGTTTTCTTGGTAAAGATACTGGTGTGGTTTGCCATTTCCTTCTCCACTTCATTTTAGAGATGAGAAAACTGAGGCAAACAGGGTCACACAGCTAATAAGTGTCTGAGGCTGGATTTGAATTCAAGTCTTCCTGACTCCAGGCCTGGTGCTCTATCCGCTGCAGCACCTAACTGCCCAAGGTTACATTGGTAGAAAATATCAGACCCTTTCAGTCAGGAATCAGTACTGTCTTCCACCACATCATATTGGATAGAGAGAGAAAAATCTTCCCTGGAGAATCCATTAGCTGCCTAATTTTTCTCATTGTCCTAACTCCCCAACAGTCAATATTCTGATAAAACTAGGTATTGCTAAAAGCTCCAGGGTATCTTAAGGTTGTCTACAAAGAAGCAAGTAGGTGAGTAGATTAATTTCACATTCACACAGTGGAATCCAGTGATTTGTCTGGAGAGGATAGAGAGGATCGAGATGGGAGGGCCCTTTGTTTTGGATGCCATAAGGTATAGCATGGGGGGAGGGTGGGCACTGTATGTCTGAACTGCTGAGAAGCGAAGGTGATAGAGAGTCATAGAATGGTAGAAGCTGGGAAGGACCTTAAAGATCACAATGGAAAGAGGGATGAATTTACCACTAAAGACCCTTGGTTTGAATCCTAGCTATGCCATGGAGGAAGCTAGGTGGCCCAGTGGGTGGAGCACTGGGTCTGGAGGAAGACCTGAATTAAAATCTAGCCTTCAGATACCTACTAGTTGTATGACCCTAGGCAAGACACTTAACCTCTGTCTGCCTCAGTTTCCTCAACCATAAAATGGGGATAATAATGGCATCTACCTTACTGGATCTGTTACAAGAATCAGAAGAGATACCATTTGTAAAGCGCTTAAAACGGTGCCTGGCTTGAAAGTAGGAGCCATGTAAATGCTTATTCTCTTCCCATCACACTAATTACCTGTGTAATCTTGAGTAAATCACTTAACCTCTCTGGGACTCAGTTTCCTCATCTGGTGTTTGGACTAGATCAGTGGTTCTTAAAGTGGGGTTCCCAAACCCCTGAAGGTCCTCAAAACCCTTTTTGGGGGACTGTGAGGTCAAAAGTAGTTTCATAATAATACTAAGGTTTTTATTTGCCTGTTAAAACGCTGCTCCCTTTTCCAACTACTTATCTACGTGAGGCTAGATTTACTATATGTATTTCAGTCAAAACAACATATCGCAACAGATTGACTGTAGAGGAAGATAAGAGCATTCAGCTGTCTTCTGTTAAGGTAGACATTAAAGAAATTTGGACAGTGAGGTGGCACAGTGGCTAGAGTGCTGGGCTTGGAATCAGGAAGACTCATCTTCCCGAGTTCAAATCTGGCCTCAGACACTTACTAGCTGTGTGACCCTGGGCAAGTCATTTAACCTTGTTTGCCTCAGTTTCCTCATGTATAAAATGAGCTGGAGAAGGAAATGGCAACCCACTCTAGTATCTTTGCTGAGAAAACCCCAAATGGGGTAACAGAGTCAGACATAACTGAAAAACAACAAAAAAGGGAATTTGATTTTGTTTTGGCTAGGCAATTGGGTTAAGTGACTTGCTGAGGGTCACACAGCCAGTAAGTGTCAAGTGTCTGAGGCCAGATTTGAACTCAGGTCCTCCTGACTCCAGGGTCAGTGTTCTATCCACTGTGCCACATAGCTACTCTCCAAAAAAAGAAATTTGGAAAAAAATATGTAAAACAATGCTACTGTTTTAATTAAATTTTTTTTGTCTTTGAAAATATAGTCATTTTGCATAAAAATATGTCATTTATGTTCATATGTAATGTTTAAATTTAATTAATGAAAATATTTTTGAAATTTGTCAGCTTTAATTTCCAATATGGTAAATATCCATAGATAAAAGATGCTTAAATAAAAGCTACTGGGGGTTCTTAGTAATTTTTAAAAATGAAAAGGGGTCCTGAGACCAAAAAGTTTGAGACCCGCTGGACCAGAGGTCCTGTCTGCCTGTAAATCTATGATCACCTGATGCTCTGCTCTCATTTTAAAAAAGAAAGTAATTTATTGTGAACCTAACCTGCAACAATAAAATCAATTAAACACATTTGCAACTAAACTTTTAAAAGACCTTCAACCTACAGATCTCATAACAACTTATCTTCACTCTGTTTATTTCAACCATTTTTCTTTGTTGACACTTGTAGATAGCTTTTATATGGTCTTTTTATATAGCCCATGGTTTCCTTGGTCTTCTGGTTTTGTTTTCTTCATATTCATTTTTTCTTTTAAGTTTTTTCTTTTTTTTTTACTATGAATTCAAAAACATGAACATTTTGTTTAAACAGAAAAGATAATTAAAAAAGTGACCTAGCACACTTTTTTCCAAGTGTATGTATACTAAATTTAACACAGCAGTCATAACAAAACTGCCTTGTTTATTGGTGTTCCCTTCTGAACTTCCCCCCTATAGAAGTTATTTTCTGTATAATAATAACGTTAATAGTAACTAGCATTATTATAGTATTTTAAGGTTTGTAATCAATTTACATATGCTGTCTCATTTGGTCCTCATATTCACCATGGAAGATGGTTTTTAATCCCATTTTATGGATGAGGAAACTGAGGTTAAGTGACTTGCTAAGGGTCACACAGCTAGGCAGTATCTATAGCAGATTTGAACCCAGGTCTTCCTGATTCTAGGTCTAGTGTCCTAGCCACTGTGCTGCCTCGCTATAACTTCCAGTCATTTGATATTAGTCTTTCCAGATTTCTTCATACTTGTCCTTCTTAACTGTATCCTGGCTCTAGGATTTACTGTCTGTGTGACCTTAGGCAAGTCAGTATCTCTTTGAACCTATTACCTCATCTGTAAAATGGGATAATGATACATAGATTATCTATTTTTTAGAGTGGGAAGTTGTAGAGAAGTGCTTTGTAAACCTTGAAGAGCTATATGAATGTGAATTATCTTCATCTTCATCATCATTTTCAGGCCCTCAGGGAACTGAGACCCAGAAATAGGAAGAGGACGACTTGGCAAAGTCACAGAGCTAGTTTGTGGCAGTCAGGACTAGGGTGATGCAACGGAATGATCTCTGGACTGGAGGCAAAGGTGCCATGTTTGAATCCAGACTCTGCCACTTATTACTTGGGTGACCTTGGGTAAGTCATTTAACTTCTTTTTGCCTCAGTTTCCTTCCCTGTAAAGTTGATGACCTCTGAGGTCCCTTCCATCTCTAGATCTACGATCCTTGGAGCTTTAACTCTGTATTTGTATCTCCAGCCCTTAGTACAGTGCCTGGCAAATAGTAAGTGCTTAATAAATGCTTCTTGGTTGATAAGTCAAGTATCAACTGTTGAAAGGACCATATACCTTCAATGTAGTGATTCTGCTAGGAATGGGAAGGAACCATTTAGCCTAATACCCTCATTTTACAGATAAGGAAACTGAGGCGAACAGGGTTAACAGGTTCACACAGCTAGTAAGTATCTGAGGCCAGATTTTGAACCCAGGTCTTCCTGACTCCAGGCCCAGCACTCTATCCACTGTACCACCTAGCTGTCCATCTGTTTTTTTTTTTTGGCTGGGGCCTTCTGGGCAAGTCTGCCAGCATTGATGATCAACATTGGACCTTTTTAGCCAGGAGCCTTGAGTTCAAATCCAGCCTCAGACACTTAATAAGCTGTGTAACTCTGGGTAAGTCACTTAGCCACTATCTATGTCACTTTCTTCACCTTTAAAATAGGGATAATTATACTATCTACCTCCTAGGATTATTGTAAAGATCAAATGAGATAATATTTGTAAACCGCTTTGCAATTTAATTGCATACGTATAACCTATATCAAATTGCTTACTGTCTCAAGGAAGGGGAAGGGGAAGGAGGGAGGGAGAAAATTTGGAATTCAAAACTTAAAAACAAGGAATGTTAAAAATTACCCTTACATGTAATTGGGGAAAAAATAGGATATTACTTTTAAAAAGTGCTTTGCAATTCTCAAAACATGATATAAGTGCTAGCCTTGATGATTAGAACTTTAGGTCAGTGGGGTAGAGCTGTTTTGGGGAAGACAAGACTTTTCCCACTCCACAGAGAACACTGGCCTTCAGGTAAGCCCTGAGACGTGGGGAAGGGCATTCACTTACCCACAGTGATCCTGGTGTGTAAGCTCAGCATCTCCACCAGGGCGTTGTTCAGGAGGACAGCCACCAAGGCGACGAGGATGTAGGTGAGGCTCATGTCAAACACAATTGAAGTCCCTATGGTACAGGGAGAAGGTGGTCAGAAAAAAGATGCTCCTCCCCTGCCTGTTCTCTCCCCAGCCAAAAGGCGTGATACTTGGGGACAGCTAGGTGGCACAGTGGATAGAGCACAGGCCCTGGAGTCAGGAGGACCTGAGTTCAAATCCAGCCTCAGACACTCCACACTTACTAACTGTGAGACCCTGGGCAAGTTACTTAATCCCATTGCCTAGCAAAGAAGAAAAAAAAGAAAGGCATGATACTGCTTCTGTGGAGGGACCTGGCAGAAGAAAAGACCTTCCCCTCTTTTTTCTATGCTCTTTATGGAACAGACTTGGTCTGGCTCCCCATCACACACAGGCCATTTTTCCTTCTGCCCTTCCCCTGGTTTCACTGCTCAGCAGGCCATTTAGAGGAGGTGGAGTTGGGTTAGGACTGTGTCTCTCTCAGACAGTGTGGTAGTCAAGAAGCAGCAGCTGGTGAGTGACAGAATGGCCTATCTTTGCTGAGATGAGGGAGATTCTCCAAGTCTTTGAAATTGCTCTCTGACTAAACACTTGGTGGGTTGGGGGAAGGAAGCATAGAGAGTAGATGGTATCATGTAACAGATAGAGTGCTGAACTTGCACTCAGAACATTTTGTTCAGTTAATTCAGTAGTGGGGCAGCTAGGTGGTGCAGTGGATAGAGCACCAGCCCTGGATTCAGGAGGACCTGAGTTCAAATCTGGCCTCAGACACATAACACTTACTAGTTGTGTGACCCTGGGCAAGTCACTTAACCCCATTGCCTAACCCCCCCCCAAAAAAAATTCAGTCATGTCAGACTCTTTGTGACCCCATCTAGGGTTTTCTTGGCTGAGATACTGGAGTGGCCAATTCCTTCTTCAGCTCATTTTACAGATGAGGAAACTGAGGCAAACAGGGTTAAGTGACTTGCCCAAGGTCACATAGCTAGTAAATGTCTGAGGTCAAATTTGAACTCAGGTCTTCCTGACTCCAAGCTCTGGTGCACCACTTAACTGCCTATTGTACTCAGAAGCCCCTACTATTTGATCATGTGAACATGACCTCTCAGAGGCAGTTTTCTCATCCATAAAAAGGGGATTATTATACTTCTATTACCCAACTCATGGGATTCTGATGAGGGAAATATTTTGCAAACTTTAAAGCAGTATATAAATATGAATTATTATTAGGATCAGAGAGTTAGAGCAAAAGGGGACATTAGAAATCATCAATTCCCACCCCCACCATCATTATATAGTTGAAGAAACTGAGGCCAGATAGGTTAAGCTCAGGGTCACATAGCTAGTGAGAGTCTGAGGCCAGATTTCAACCGAGGTCTTCCTATTCCAAGGTCAGCATTTTATCCACCACACCTTGCTGCCTCTCGAGACCTTACCACTTTCCTAGCCTTTTTACTGATGTGTTTGCTTCAAATATCCAATTCATGAGGGGCTTGGGAAGTGGGAAAGGGCATTGAATTACCCACAGCGATCCTATCATCTCATTTTGTGCTAGAAACCATTCTTCATGATTGACAGTGGGTGGCACAGTTAATTGAAATTCTTCTCAAAACTCTGCATCTCAGTCTTTCTCATTTCCCCCATTTTGATGGTTTCTGTCCCTATTCCCCAATCCCTGCCCAGCCTACTCCTCTTCCTGATACTCTGATTTCTATCGAGGAAACCATCATCCAGCTAGTCAGCCATGTTTCCAATCTCAGAGTCATCCTCACTGTCTTTGTCCAATTAGTTGCTTAAGTCCTATCAATTTCCTTGCCACCTCTTGCATCTGTCCCGTACTCTGCACCCACACAGCCATTATCCTCATTCAGACCCTCATCACCTCTTTTTTTTTTAAGTACTTGGAAGCTTTAACACAAATAAAAATGTGCAAAGTATTTTACTCGTTTTCTTCACTCCTCATTCTAGCATTTGAATTGGTAATCTTGATGGCTAGCTGAGCCGCTCTCCCAATGATGACTTTCCCATTCTTGGAGGACACCTTGTGAGCAATCTTGGCACAGTAAGATCTGTTGCACATCAGAAGCACTTCTAGCTCTTTGACACTGTGTACCAAAAACTTCCTGAATCCACTCAGTAATGCGTTTGGTCTTCTTATTGCTTCCCTAACTAATATTGGGCATCAAGATCTGGCCCTCGAATCGTCTTTGCGCCCTGTGGTCAGTGCCTCTTGGTTTATGCCAGTTTCTCTTGATCTGGACATATCTGTCAGACTGGTGCCGGATGAACTTCTTGGTCTGCTTCTTGACAATTTTAGGCTTTATGAGAGGTCTGAGAGCAGGCATGGTGCCAGTGGAGAGATAGCGGCCCCTCCATAGGAAGCGCTGACAGCAAAAGAGAGAGCCCCTCATCACCTCTTGCTCAGATTATTACAATTGTTTCCTAACTGGTCTCTCCCTACTCCAAACAATCCTCTACATAGCTGCCAAGCAATATCCCTGAAACACAAATCTCTCCGTGCCACTTACTCCCCTGCTCAATAAACATCAATGGCTCCCATTTGCCTCTAGGATCACATACAAACGCCTCCATTTGGCATTCAAAGTCCTTCACAATCTGCCTCTAGCCTATCTTTTGACACTTATTAGACATAACTCCCACTTCCACACTCCTCACTCCAGCAAAACCAGCCAATTACAAAGCTGGCTATCCTCCATGCACAATATTCCATCTCCTAATTTCATATCTTTGCACCGGCAGTCCCCTATGCCTGGAATGCACTCCATCCTCACCTCCACTTCTGGAAATCTCTAATTTCCTTCAAAGCTCAGATCAAGTGCCATCTTCTTGACCTCCCCAGCAGCTAGCGTCCAGCCCTGAAATTACTTTGCATTTACTCTGTGTGTAGATTTTATTTCCTTGCACGCATATGTGTCATTTCCTCAATAGAATGTAAGCTTCTTGAAGGCAGTTATGTTGCATTTTTGTTTTTGTATCTCCAGCATCTAGTGCAGTACCTGACACATAGTAGGTGCTTAATAAATGTCTGCTGGTTGATTGGAGTGATAGTCTTCTTAACTATTTTCTTACCTAAAAGGGGTAGAAAGTTTTCCAACATCATCTCTAAGACGGTCATCTCTAAGATTCTATGACTATTTCCCCCTTGTCAACAAAGGAAGAAACAGGAATTTTTTCATGTTGAAGGGAGCAGAGCAGTGGTGGTTAAGTGTAGGTCCAGGTGTGACCCATTCTTCTTCCCCACATGGAGTGCTGGGCCTGGAGTCTGGAAGACTCATCTTCCTGAGTTCAAATCCAGCCTCAGACACTAGCTGCATGACCCTGGATAAGTCACTTCCCTCTGTTTGCTTCAGTTTCCTCATTTGTAAAACATGAGATGGAGAAGGAAATGGCAAACCACTCCAGCACCTTTGCCAAGAAAACCCCAAATGGGGTCATGAAGAGTTGGATGCAACTCTGTAGCAATCATAGTTCAGCAGTTCTTTGCAGAGAGCCTGGAATGAATATTAACAGTAGCCTGGGTAACTTACACTGTAACATTTCACCAGCTCTGTGCTTAGGACCATAGGGATCATAGGAGCCTAGATTTAGAACTATAAAGGACACTAGAGACCATTGAGTCCAATGCCCTCATTTTATAAATGAGAAAATTGAGATACAAAATAGTTAAGTGATTTGTCCAAGGACACACATCTTGTAAGTATCTGAGTGAGGATTTGAACTCAGATTTTCCTATCAGAGCTGCCACACATAGCACTTAATATAAGTGACCCCAGCCTCTGAAGAAACATACAGGGAAATTTAGTAATTTATTATAAAAGGACTATGAATTGTCAATCAGAAAATCATGAAACTGGGACTTTTTCACCTCACAAACCAGAAATTACTTTTTTGAACAAGGTTTCATAGAATAGCCAGACTAGAAGGGACTTCAAAGTCCATCTGGACCAAAGCAGAAATCCTCTCTATGATAACCCAACTGAAAAGTCATCTAACCTCTTCTTGAAGATCTCTACTGATGGGGAGGTCACTACCTCTTGAGGCAGCCCACTCCATTTTGGGATAGCTTTAATTATTAGGAATTTTTCCTTATACACAGCCAAAACATTTCACTTCATAATTTAAAGCCATGGCATCCTGCTAGAGCCAAATAGAAAAGTAGAATCCTTCTTCTACTTGACAGTCCTTCAAATACATGAAGACAACTATCTTAAAGTTCCTATCCCCAATCCATGCAAGTCCCCTTTTCTCCAGGCTAAATATTTGCAGTTTCTTTAAGCCATCATCATATGGCATACAGGTCGCTTCCTCTGGACATCTTAATTGCTTTCCTCTCTTTTTTTAAATTAAATTTTATTTTGTTCAATCAATGAACATCTTCCTTCTCTTTCTCCCATCTCCCTTTCCCTAATCCCTTTTGAGAAAGCAAGAAAAACAAAACCTCTGTTGCAAATACATATGGTCTTTTTTTTGGGGGGGGGTTAGGCAATTGGGGTTAAGTGACTTGCCCAGAGTCACACAGCTAGTAAGTGTCAAGTGTTTGGTCAGAGGCCAGATTTGAACTCAGGTTCTCCTGACTTCAGGGCCTGCGCTTTACCCACTGCGCCACCTAGCTGCCCCACAAATACATATGGTCGAGCAGAACAAATTCCCTCACTGACCATGTTTTAAAAAATCTGTCTCAATTTGCACTCTGAGTCCAGCACCTCTCCCTCAGGAGGTAGGCAGCAAGTTTCATCATGAATCTTCTGGAGCAGATGCTGGGCATTACACTGATCAGAGTTCCTAAGTCTTTCAAAGTTGTTTGTCTTTACAATATCGTTGTTATTGTATAAACTGTTTTCCTGGTTCTTCTCACATCCCTTTGCATGAGTTCATGCAAGTCTTTTTATGTTTCTCTGAAACCATTTCCTTGATCATTTCTTATAACGCAGTAATATTGCATCACATTCATAAAACATAATTCATTTAGCCATTCCCCAATTGATTCGTGTCCCCTCATTTTCCAATTCTTTGATACCACAAAAAGATCTG